ACACACACACACACACACACGCACGCACGCACACACACACACACACACACACACACACACGCACACGCACACATATATATATACACACACACACTGTAAATTTTTGATATGGATAATAAATATTGAAATACACATAATAGTAATCCAAGTGGAAATAAGTCATTGAAATTTGCTGAAAATTGCTAAAATCTCTATCAATTGACTCATTTCATTATGAATTATACTGAAATGAGTCTATTGATAAAGATTTCAATCAAATTGATGAAGATTCATTGATTTATATAGGAAACATTAATGTTTAAAAACAATATATAATTTATTATATGTTTAATCTAAATTCTTATAAAAATGAGTACATTAAAATAACGATATTATCTAAATAAAATAAAAAATTAATAAAACTATAGATAAGTTTAATAAAGAAAAACTCTATATACAAATTAGTTAGTAGAGAGTTTCAAGTTTTAATATTTATTTCATATTTAGTATTAAATTAATTATCAGCTAATGTAATTTTAAAAATCTAATAACTTACTTTAACATAACAAGAAGTAACAAAAAAATAATAAATCGTTACTTTTCAAGTAACGGTAACGGTAACGTGTTACTTTTTAAAATTAGTAATGATAACGAGTAATGATAACGAGTTATTCTTTTCAAAAAAGTAACGATAAAGAAACGTGTTATTTTTTTGAAATAACGCGCACTATTCTGTACATAATCCTTTTAAAATTATAAGGTTATCATAACACTGAAGAATCTATAATTAAAAAAAAAATTATTTATTAACATTGACATTATGTTAATTGATTTGCATTCAATTGCATTCAAATGTACCAATATTGCATTAGTATTCCCAATGAAAAGTAACAACTCTCCTAAACTACCCATCACAAATTTTTAAAGAATCTGACCCGTATTCAAAACGCGCTTACAACGATATTAGTGCACTAACATGCTATAATTTATGTTACACATATTATAAAATTTTGGAGATAAAAGCGCGTTCTGAATACGGGCCTCTATCTATATTTACGGATTTATCTGCTATCAGATTTATCGTGATCAATTGGATGTGAAAGAAATGTACTAAAATACATCCCTATATAGAAATTTAATATTAATATTTATTGGTGAATTAATTATTTTGAGTGTATTAAAAGTCTACTAATAGTTAAAAGTACTATTAAGTACTATTAATAGTTAAAATAAATGATTAACTGGCCAATACAGAATATTAAATTTCTAAAAAGAGATAATCCTTATAGAAAAATACTACTGAGCACTATTAGTGCAATAGTATTTTGAGACATTATTGCTAAAGTACAACATTACTTTTCTACAAGAATGTATGTGCGTTTTGACAAAATACAAATTCAGGAAGTACATGTATCATGCAACTAACTATTTAAAACTCTATTTAAAAAAAAGCATTTTCAGAAGCTCTATAAATGCACACTCTGATCGAGCTGAGAGTGTCAAACAAGGATAAAATGATACATCATGCATATTATACGTGTAACGAAACGCAGCCTTATTACTGTATCTCCAAGAGATGGCAATAAATTGTACGTCATACGCCAAAACTTGTGCGTTACTTATGTTTACAACTTAAGTCTCTAAATAAATGTTACGACAATTCTTATGCTCAGACCCTAAGGCTGCGTTTCACTCGGCGAAAGACAAGGATAAAATGATACATCATGCATTATGCGTGAAACGGAACGCAGCCTTAAGGTGCCTTTTTAGTCCGGATCTACAATAAGTATTTTAAGCCTTAAGCTGTAAGAAATTGACCAATTACAGTCGAATGCAAGAAGAATAATCGATTGTGATTCCATTTCTTATGGTTTAAGACTTAGAATTCTATTGTAGATCCGGGGGTTACATGGCACTCAACATCGAGCGTTAGAGCATGAGCAGTAAAGAGTCTTCTACATAGAAACCAATCAATTATAATCAAATTTAAGGAGAATACTCGATTAGAATTGATCAATTTCCTACTTAAGACTCCACAACCGTCTACAACTTTTATGTAGAGGATTCTATAAGATCATTTTACATTGATCGTATCGTCGCAAATCACAAACTTGTTGTTTTAACCAATTCAATGCTTCAATTTTAAAGTCGCATGATGCTTACGACGCTTCCGATGCTATGATACAACCAATGTAGAATGGTCTTTATATATTTAAAGCTGCGTACTTGTCATCACGCCATTGCGAACCGTTCAAACGCTGTTACGAACACCGTCGCGAACATCGCCACATACAGTATTCCATTTTTATTAGTTTGCGAAATTTGTCCAAGTCTGAGATCGTATTTATAATCATTTGTACCATCTCTAACCGAATAAAGTATATACTATAATAAATAAATTATATCACGATATACTGAGATGATTCATTTAGTACTGAAAAATTCAAAGGGGTAACTACTAGTTGAAATATTATCCCATTATATGATTTCATGATTTCATATGATTTCATCTGATTATAAATAATTTTTTTCACTGTATATAAAGTCAAAGTAAAAGTTGATAAAATATACGATTTTATTTAATATTATACAATAATTTCTCATGATTGCATATGTAATTATCGCATATACAGACATTCCATATGAATTTTATAAAGATTTCGAGGACTCCCAAGATTAAAATTGACTCCTTGTAGTTCTGACAGAAGGGCCCGATGTTCGCGGTAACATTCGAGACAGTCGAGAATGTTCTCACATATGTGTGAAGTTAATCACCCTTTTTTTGAAAATTAAAATTTTGACAATTGTTCCAGATTGTTCTGAGTTTGTTCTCATAAATTATTCCAAAGCGATATTATCTTATTCCAAATCGTTTTCCAACAAAATGTAAAAAATGATTTTTTTTGCTAGTCTCTCTTTTTTTAATAATCGAACAATTCATTATCGCCATAGATTGTTCTAGTTGTTCCAAACATTGTTTCAAAAGGACAATTTCATAAGTCGAACGAAAATCCAGAAAAATAAAAAACATTTTTCAACAAATAAACGCTCCAATCAAGAATAGGTAAACTCTCCTTTTTTCAATGCACAATTTTATATTTTTAGTTGTTCTAGTCCTGCGAAACGCTGGTTCTTCCAAAAATAAAAAAAAATCGAGAACAATTAAAAATATAAAATTTTGCATTGAAATAAGGAGTGTTTATAGATTATAAGTTTTATTTTTAAGGAGCAACTCAGAACAACCTGGAACAATTGTCAAAATTTTAATTTTCAAAAAAAGGGTGGCTAACTTCACACATATTATTCTCACTGGCGCCGCTGCACCGACTTGTTCGCAGCAGCGTTCGCGACAATGTTTTTGATATAAGTCTGTTCGCGGCTAAACAGGAACGTTGCTTCTCATTTCTTTGATGTAGTGGTGAAAAACCGACTCTCAGCCAATCGGCCCGATGTTATGCAGTGATGTTTGCAGCAGCGTTCGAGACACTGTCCACACTGTACACGTTTTGTTCTCAATGACGTTCGCGACGGCATTCTATTACAAGTCTGTATGTGATTTTATGCGATGATGTTCGTGACAGCGTTCGAGACATTATTCATATTGTATATCTCCGTCTTCATCGCGACGGCGTTCTGCAACAGTCTATACACGG